GATCAGAGGAAACAAAATGAGGGTTCAAAGGGCATGTGGCAACAAGCAGCTGGAAGGCACATGAAAAGCTACTAGGTGGCCTGGGGGCTAGATGACTAGACACTGCACACACAACTGGCTGTAAAACCAGGAAAGGCAGCCCAGGCCCAGCAGGTTACTGGCAGAGGCAAGTAAGAATCAAATGGTGTCAACGACAACCAAAAAGACCAGTGAATTTCTAAACCCATCATCCTTGGGATCCCATCAAACAATCACGTGATCAAGAAGAGGTATAGATGTCTTCACTTTCACTACCTGAAAAGAGTTGTTCTAACAGCAAGGGCAAGTGAATGCAACAGCTGCCATAAAGAGTAGGATACTGCCTACGTTCGCAGTAAATTAGGAACAGTATACCTGAGGTCCTGGATAGCTGGGCAGGGGGAATAAAAGCAAAAACAAACGTACCTTTCTTCTTAGATTCTACTTTATTTGGTAAAACTCAGAAACTAACAATTCACATCCTCCCACCTCCTTCTTTCCGAAGAAGGCAGTTTGCAGAGACAAAAGGGCTGTGGTGTGGGGATCATCCACCGTCTCCAGGTTTTACACACAGGCTGCCCATGGCCTGGCAGGCCTCTAGGCCTGATGCTCTCAGAGGCAATAGAAGAAAAGTAAAAGGAAGGTCTCACTTCACAGACAATGAAACCCTCCCAACCCTCTTCCCCACTACCCACAACTCCCTACACTGCCAATCTAAATAAAGAGAGGACAATGCATGGGTGTGAGATATACACACACACACATACACACACACACACACACACACACACACACACACACAGCTTCCTTTCAGCCAAAGAACTGCAAAATCCCTCCCTGGAAGGAGGACAACTGGCAACACCAATCAAGGCTTGGTGGTCCAAGGTGATGGCTGGAATCGTGTGAGACTGGTAAAAATCCAGGGAGAAAATGTTTCACCTTCAGCTCATTCCCAGGTCTCTATGAAGCCCGCCCCACTTCCACGTAGGGGAACTACAGCTCTGGGGGCAGCTGGCTTAGGGAAAGGCCTCCCATGGCCAAGAAGACAATAGTGGAGAGGAGGGGGAGGGCAGCAGGGCAAAGCCTTTGGGGAGGGTCAGAAAGGGGGCCCCCTGCCCTTGGCTAATGGATCCGAGTTAGCTCCTCCACAACCTTGATGAGGTCGTCTGCAGTGGCCTCTCGCTTCATACCGCTGCCATCGTCATACTGCAATGAGAAGACGGGCGGGGCTGTGAGGACCAAGAGGGTGCTCACCCACAACTGGGGAAGGGAATGCCCCCAGTGAAGGAGGCACAAGACTCCACCATCGTCATGGCAGAGAAAGGACTCACCAGAAACCCACACCTCCCCCTGAGTGGTACAGGTCAGCAAGGACACCACCTGGTCTATTTCTCCCTCTTCGAGATTCTCCCTCTTCTGCTGTCCCCGAGACACCATCTCCAGTGAGCAATATCCTGAACTCCAGAATAGTGGCCATTTCTCCTCCCTATAGGATCCTGACCCTGCCTCCTACCTTTGGGTCTTGCCAGAGATCCCAGATGTGTCTTCATTGCTCAAGGATGGGGTTAACATGGGTAGAGTTACTAGCACAGCATCTGGTACCTAGTAGATACCCACAAGGCACAACCACAAACATCTCTTTTCCCTCAGACTCCACCTTCTACCTGGTAAGGATTACACAGAGGGCCCCTCGCACCTTGGAATTGAGGGGGAGAGGTGCCCAGAGACAGTCTCCTGGCATGCCCCAACCTGCACCGGACTTGTCCGGCCCAGGGCTAAACAACACACAGCTCACCTGTAGGTTTGCCACCACCTCCTGCATCTTGGGGCGGCTGATATCCAGGAAACTCTCAATCAAGTCACCATCGATGAAACCTGTGGCTGGTTCTGTCTTCCGCTCGGTGTGAAAGGATCTCCAGGTGGACAGGTGAGTTAAGGAACATGTGCTTATCAGGAAACACCTTCCTCAGTCATCCCCACCTTTGAATAAGACCACAATCTAAAAGCAATCATCAGGATTCAAAAGGAAATGACACTTTCCTTTCGCCTTGGTTTTTTTTGGACATTTTTGGAATTGAAAAAAAATATAAAAATATGACCTAATCTAATTGGTTCTCAATTGGGGTGATCTTCAAAATAGTTTTTAAAAAAAGTACAGATCAGAGTCTATTAATGTGAAGACCATACGTGTATGCAAGTTCTTTAAACGTGCTCTAGGCAAAGCTGATGCACAAAAACCACTTGTATAAGTCTAGCCTCAGAGCTTCATAGAGGGGTCAGTGTGGTGGCAGCTCATGCCTGTGAACCCAACACTTTGGGAGGTTGAGGCAGGAGGATCGTTTGAGTCCAAAAGTTCAAGACCAAACCTGGGCAACACCATGAACTCCTGTCTCTACAAAAAACAAAAATTTTTTAAAATTAGCCAGGTGAGGCATGTGCTTATAGTCCCAGCTATTCGGGAGGCTGAGGTGGGAGAATCACATGAGCCCAGGGTGTCAAGGTTGCAGTGAGCCATGATCGTGTCACAGCACTCCAGCCTGGGCAACAGAGCAAGAACCCATCTCAAAAAAAAAAAAAAAAAAAAAGAAAAGAAAAGCAGCAGCTCCCTTGATGAATAAACTGAGATTCAGTGAGACAGGGCTGCCAAAAGTCTTGATAGTTAGCAAAAAAACAATAAATCAGTCCATCAGCCCTCCTTAACTAGAGCTGGGCCAGAGTCACAGGCAGGAGCTCCTCCCACCTCCAGCCGGGGCAGGGAGGGCCCTTTATATCTCCTGTACTAAACCAACTTCCAATAGCACTTGGATTCTGGGGGTCCCAGGGTGGTAAATTCTTGCGCTTCAGCGTTTTCCGCTTCTTCACCTTTCCCTTTCTTCTGGTAGTCTCTCTAGTCTCAGACACTGTTGCCCTCAACCAAATCCCTGAAAGGATGTGCTCCTGTGTTGTGATCTAAACTTACATTTCACCTGCTACACCGAGGGCCAGAGGCGGACACATTTCAGGAATATAAATGTGCATTTCCAAGATGGACCAGCGGAAGCTGAGTGATAAGTGCTTTGGGAGTCAATATACTGTTCTATTGTGTATGTTTGAAATTTTCCACATGAAAAAGTGAAAAACAAAACAAAACAAAAAACCTGTTCTGTATAGGAACCTAATCAAGACATGTAGCAGCTTCCGGGTAATGTGACTCCATGTGCCACATATGCCGGGACATGCTTCCCAGCAAGGGGATGGCTCTGGGAAGGATATAAGGAGTGCTCGATCTTCCCCACACTTTTGATGACTTTATTGAGACGATTCTGCATGTCCAGCAGGAGGTTGTACCAGCTCTCTGACAGTGAGGTCACCAGCCCTGAAGAAGTGAAGGAGGCAGTGAGCTGCAGAGAGGTCAACCTCACAGCACGCATCCTCTACGTAAAGGGCAGCCCAGGCGAGCAGCTCGGGGAGGGCTAATGTGCTGCAGCCTCCTCTAGTAAACACCTAGGTCTTATCCAGTTGCTCTCCCCAGTCCCTCAGAATGGTGGTATCAGGAAGGAGGCCTGTGTGGGGGTGTGCCCCACGGGGGTAACCTTACCTATCATGCCGTTGACCGTGCCAAAGAGCACCGAGCCTTGTGTGGGGGTGGAAGTCTCACCCAGATTTTGCATTACCAGAGAGCCGTGGCAAAAGACATTGACAAACTCGCCCAGGTGGAAAAGACCAACCTCCTGGAGGTGCTGCCGCTCCTCGTCAGTGGTGGCAGCGCTGAAAGGTGGTGAGAAAGTAAGTTTCTGAACCTCCTGTTTTTACCACAGGCCCTGAGACAGGACCACGTGCAGTGGTCACAGTGCTGAACTTCCCTGGGAAGCTGACATACTCCACAGTAGGGGAGCCAGTCTAAAGAGGTGGATTTCTGTCACCTTTTACTCTCTCATGAGGAAAGTTCTATCTCTGTAAAGAGGAGCACCTGAACCTGACACAGAACCCAATGCTTGTATCCACCAGAGGCCCGGGAGCTCCCAACCTCCCCACCACTCCCAGAGCTGGCCGCTACTCACCTGTCCTTTTGACACACAAACAAGTTAAAGGCATTTTCGGCCCCCAGAAAATTGTCATCATCCAAGATTTCCACAGCACTCATCCAGTTGGGATTAAAGTCTCGAGCAATCTTAAAACAGACAAGGTGAAACAAGAAAACACAATCAGAAGTTTGCATGGAATCCAATTCCGGGACTTGTGTTTCCTTTATTCAGGAGCAAGGCCCCACCCTGCAGAAGATGTAGCCCAGTGTTCAACAAGTGTCGCCCTAGAGGGATTCTCCCCCGACCTCTCTGCCAACGCAGCCCATTTGATTGCCAACTGCCCAGAGATGGAGCCTACTCAGAGTTCGAGTTGGGAGTCTCTAAAAATACTTAATCAAGGTAGAATGTCTGCTCCACGGAAAACATTTCTGCCCCTAATACTCGGCTGGATTATCCTTCCCCACCAGAGACACTTGCAGGGGCCATGGCTCAAGAAAGAAGTCTGCTCCCATCCCCCCACCAGCATCACCTCTTCAAAGTTTCCTTCCATGGGCTTGTAGGCGAGCAGCAGCACTGAGCGCATAAGGTCGCCCACCAGGATGAAGTCGCCCTTGGTCTTCAGGTAGAGGGCCATGATGTTGTTGTAGTGGTTGCACTCAGTGCGCAGCTCCTTCTCTGTTGTCCACTCATAGAGCCGCACCTGGGAAGGGCATTGTCTCTCTCAGTCAAAGGGGCCAGAGCACTCTCAGAATGACTGCCCCCCGACTCCTCGACCCTCCATCTACAGCACCACTTCTCAAAGTGCAATGCAGGACGGGAACCAGTTTTATGAGGCACTGGGGTAAACATTATTATTTCGCTATTGTACATTTATGAAATATGAAAACACGATGAACACACCAAACTAGGAATACAAGGCTTTCCAAG